GGCCCTCTGGGGGCCCTCCTGGGTCCCGTCGGGGGACCTCCTGCGGCCCCCTTGGGGCTCTCTTGGACACCTCTTGGGGCCCTCAGGGGGCCTCTTGGGCCGTCTTTTGGCTCTCTTCGGCCGTCTTGACGCCCACTTGTGCCGTCTTGGGGGCCTCTCGGGCCGTCTCCGTTCTGGACGCCGTGAAGACCAAAGCAGCGGATGTGCTGAACATGCACGTTCTCCAAAGGGAGTGGGACGGTGTCTGCCCTTGGGGGGTTCCTCTTTGGGGGCCTCTTGGGGCGTCGTGGGGCCGTTTGGGCTGTCTTGACATCAGATTGGGCCCGCTTGGACATCTCCGACGCCGTCTTGGAGGTATCTTGGGACCTCTTGGGCCGACTCCGACTTGGGGGCCTCTTGGGCGCCCTAGGGGCTGACTTGGGTCGTCGTAGGCCGAACATTGCAGAACTTGGGGCGATTTGATCTGGGCCGGCACGGGAACGGGAAGAGCGCTTCAGCAACCTGCCCGAGATGGCTCATGCCACCCTTCGCTCTTGGGAGCCTTGGTGGTAAGAGCTTGTTGCGTCACCGCTCGTTCTTGGGAGCCTTGCTGGTAAGCGCGTGTTACGTCACCGCTCTCTGTTGGGAGCCTTGCTGGGAAGAACTTGTTGCGTCACCGCTCTCTGTTCAGAGTCCTCGTGCCCAGGGATGCTTACGTTGCCGCTCGCTCTTGGGAGCCTTGGTGGTAAGAGCTTGTTGCGTCACCGCTCGATCTTGGGAGCCTCGCTGGCAAGCGCGTGCTACGTCACCGCTCTCAGTTTGGAGCCCTGCTCCTCCTCCCCCTCCTCCTCCTCCTCCTCCTCCTCCTCCTCCTCATATTTGTCTTCTGCGTCTTCTTCTTCTTCTTCTTCTCCGCCTCCTCCTGCTACTCCTCTGCCTCCTCCTCCTCCTCCTCCTGCTGCTGCTCCTCCTCCCTCTTTATCCTACTTCTCCTCCTCCTCCTTCTCCTCCTCCTCCTGACTCCTCCTCCTCCACCACCTCTCTCGTCCTCGTCCTCGTCCTCCTCCTCTTCCTCCTTCTCTTCATCGTCCTCTCTTCCTCCTCCTCCATCCTCCATCCTCCTCCTTCTATCCCTCCTCCTCCTCCTCCTCCTCCGACATCGTCCTTTTCCTCCACCTCCTCTTTCTCCTCGTCTTTCTCCTCCTCCTCCCTCCTCCTCCTCCCTCCTCCTCTTTCCTTCTCCTCCTACTCCTCCTCCATCTCCTCTCCCTTCTCCTCTCCTCCTCCTCACCTTCCTCCTCCTCCTCCACCTCCTCGTCTTCCTCCTCCTCCTCCCCCTCCTCCATCTACCTCCCTTCCTCTGTCTGATCCTCCTCCTCCTCTTTCGCCTCCTCCTCCTCCTCCTCCTCCTTCTCCTCCTCTTCCTCCTCCTCCTCCTCCTCCTCCTCCTCTCCTCTCCTCTCCTCCTCCTCCTCCCTCCTCCTCATCCTCCTCGTCCTCTTCCTCTTTCTCGTCCTCCTCAACCTCCTCCTCCTCCTCCTCCTCCTCCTGCTCCTCCTCCTCCTCCTCCTCCTCCTCCTCCTCCTCCTCCTCCTCCTCCTCCTCCTCCTCCTCCCCCTACTCCTGGGGTCGGCTTGGGAGCCTCGTGGGGCCCTCGTAGGGCTCTCTTGGGGCGGTCTGGGTGCCCTCATTGGCCCTCTTGGGTCGCCTGGGGGCCTTCTTGGACTGTTTTCGGCCCCTTTGTGGGACCTCTGGGGCCGTCTTGGGACGACCTTGGCGGTCTTGGGCCGTCTTGGGGCCCTCTGGGGGCCCTTTGGGGGCCCCCTGGGCTCCCTTTGGGACCTTCTGTGGCCCTCTTGGGGCTCTCCTGGGAACTTTTTGAGGCCCTCAGAGGCCTCTCTTGGACAGTCTTCGGGCTCTCTTGGTCCGTCTTGACGCCCATTTGGGCCGCCTTGGGGGCCTCTAGCGCCCTCTTGGGGCGGTCTTGGGGGCCTCCTGGACCCGTCTTGGACGCTGTGAAGACCAAAGCAGCGAATACGCTAGAAATGCACGTTTCAGGTAAGGAATGGGACGATTTTTGTCTTTGGGGGGGTCCCCTCTTGGGGCCTCTTGGGTCGTTTGGGGGGCCTTTGAGGCTGTCTTGAAATCATGTTGGGCCCTCTTTGAGCGCTCTTGGGCCGCCTTCGGTCTCTCCAGGACCTCTCCGACGCCGTCTTGGAGGTATCTTGGGACCTCTTGGGCCGACTTGGGGGACTATTGGGCGCTCTTGGGGCTGACTTGAGTCGTCTTGGGCCGAAAATGGCCGAAACTTGGGGCGATTAGATCTGACGCCCGGGCTGCCTACCCCCCCACCCCCCCTTGTTATTTCTCCGCACTAGCGGATCGCGACGCTACGAGCGCTTTCCGTCATCCGCCATGGGCCGAAGGCGACTAGATCCGCCGCCCCCTGTGGTCTTGCCAGAGGGGTGCCCGGCGTGCTCGATTTGAGTCGGGCGTGTCCCCGTACAGGGAGTTTTTGAACGAAAGGCAAAAAAACAAAAATACACCAAACAAGCTCAAAAAATGCTGAAAAAAACAAAAAATCCCCTGACTATGTTTTGACTATTTTTGAATATCCCCCCTGTAGAGGGACAGGCCCGACTTAAGACTAGATCCGCCGCCCCCAATGGTCTTGCCAGAAGGGTGCTTGGCGTGCTAGATCCTATCTACCGCTTTTGGTTTTGGCTGCTTTCCCAAAGACCTGCTCCGAGGGCTTCGGCGCATGCCGCCGGGCCCGCCGGAAGGCCGCCGAACATGTACAGTTCGTGGGTGTTCGGGCCGTGTTCGGGCTGTGGATGGCGTCCAAGGCGGCCAAAAGATAGCCAAGATGGCTCAAGGTGGCCTCCAAGTTCGCACAAGACGGTCCAACATGGCCTCCAAGACGGCCAGAGAAGGTCCAAGACTTCTCCAAGTCCGCCCAGGAAGCCACCGAGACAGCCCAAGATGGCCCAAGACGGCCCCAGAGGCCTGCTTCCAAGACGGCCGAAGAGGCCTCCAAGAGGTTCTCCAGGAAGGCCAGCAGAGGCCAAAATCATATATGTCCCTCAGGTTTTGGAAGGATTGTGTCATTTGCTTTGCTTCGGCCTTCCAACGGCCCAAGACGGCCCATGAGCCCCCAAAGATCGCCCCAAAGATCGCCCAGGAGGCCTTCAAGATGGCCCCAGAACGGCCCCAGAGGGCCCAAGACGGGGCCTCCAAGACGGCCCTGGAGTACCCCCCAAGTCGGCCCAGAGACGCCCTCAAGACGGCCTCCGACGGCGTCAGACGGACCAGGAACGCCCTACGTCGGGCAAAGAGGCCCCCGAGAAGCCTGCAGAGGCCCCCCAAAGGCTCAATGAGGCCCTCAAGATGCCTCCAAAAAGCAGGGGGCGGCGGTGATTCGCAGTAGGCGTCGTCGATCCGCCGCCCTCTATGGTCTTGCCACATGGGTGCACGGCGTGCCAGACGTCTGGAAGGTTTTGGTTCTTTTCTGAAGAACTCCCCATGGGGCGTCGGCCAGGAATATCCTGTCCCCATTGGCCACAAGACGGCGAAGATGGCCTCCAAGAAGGCCACGATGCCTCCATGACAGGCAAGACAGCCCAAGATGGCCTTCGAGACGTTCCCAAAGTGTCTCCAGCACGGCCACGGATGCACCCAACGTTGCCGAAAATAGCCTGAAGATGGCCCAAGACGGCTCAGGAGGCCCCAAAGAGGGCTTCAAGACGGCCCCACAGGCCTCCAAGAGGACATACAGGAAGGCCCGAAGAGGCCAACTTCATTGACTATCCTCATGTTTTTGACCGAGTGCTTGCTCCTTTCGGCTGTCAGACGGCCCAGGACGGCCCAACAGACCTCCAAGATAGCCCCGTGATCGCGCAGGAGGCCTCCAAGATGGCCCCAAGACGGCCCAAGAGGCCTCCAAGACAGCCACGAGAGGACCCAAAGACGGCATAAGAGGCCCCCACGACGTCCAAGATTGCTTCCAAGACGGCCGAGTTGCCCCAACGCCAAGAGAGTCCAAGATGGCCACAAGATGTCTCCAAGACGGCCAACGATGCATCTTAGGCGAGCTCCCAGGAGGTCCCAGGAATGACCCAAGAAGCTCCCAAGAGATCTCCTCCTTCTTCTTCTTTTTCTCCTCCTCCTCCTCGTATTTCCTTCCTCTCCTCATCTTCCTCTTCCTCCCCCACAGATTCTCCGCAAGGTTTCCACACTGGCCGGGAGAACACACGGTCCAGCAGCTCGGGCAGATCCTGCCCGCTCGGCCACGCGGGCGCCTTCCAAAAGGAAAGGGGAGGCAATGCGCCCGTCGACGCCTGCGAGCAGACGGTGTGCGGCTGGCTCGTGTCGTGACCACTTTCGGGGGGCGCGCAGACATGGATTCGCGGTCCATGACCACCGGAAAGCACACACCCAATCCCAAAATCGCGGGTTCGCCAAGGATTCGAGGATCGGCCAGAGATTTCGAGGGCATGTTGTGGGCTCGTCGTCGTCACCCTGGTAGAACCCTGTCCCAGAATCTCCCTCCCCGAAGTCTCGAGATGTCTGCGTTTTGTCTTTGCCCCCGCGTTTTTGGGATTGGGCGTCTGTTTTGAGTTAGTGAATCCATGGATCTGGCTCGCGGTCGCCAGATCCATGCATCGGGGGAGCTGCCCTCCCCAAAAATGCGGCCGGTGCCGCCCCGCTGGGCGGCGGAAGTCCGCGACCTCCCCATGGAAGCGGGACCCGTCGCCAAACAACGCCCCCCGGATCCATGTCTCCCCTCCTCCTCCTCCTCCTCCTCCTCCTCCTCCTCCTCCTCCTCCTCCTCCTCCGCCCCCTTGATCCATGTCTGCGATGGCCTGGCACTTGCACCGATGGCCCCCGACTCCGCGCGTGGATCATTCGACGTCGACCCCTTCGAGGCACCCGGCTGCTCTCAGGCTCGAGCGCCCAGGCTGGGGCCGGCCGCCACGGCGACACGCATCCAGCTCACCGCAGCAGCAGCACACACGAGACCAGAGGCAGGTCGGAGGAACACAGGCGGAGGGATTTCGTCACGTGATGCGAAGTTCCCCCCTCCCCACCGAATCCCCCTCTTGTTCCTCCTCCGATTCGCATCCAACTCGCCGAGAACAACGGCAAGCGCGCACGGCCGTGGAGACACACCATCACCCCAAGTACGCAGGCACGCTTCGAGTCATGTTTGTTCCCCTGCCCCAAATCTCGCTGCTTTGTTAGGTTCCCTGTCGGTAAGGTGGTTGAGGTCATCACCTCAAGCAGTGTTTGAATGCTTGTCGCGCCGTCGCGCCTGACGCCACGACACTGGGCACTATCCAGAATCCCACCATCCGTCGCCCAGTCGCGCCAGACACCACGACAGAGACCGATTGCAGCAGAGCCAGGATCCAAGAGGAAAAGGATCACGCAATGATTGGGGAGGCTCCCGTCTACCACGAGACCTCTCCCAGACCTCTCCCGGGGTGCGTTCTGACCGAGGCATTGCGGCGAATCCAGCGGTGGCGACGAGCGCCTCCCAGGAGGCCCACAAAGGGGAGAACTGGCGAAGGGTAGAGGTATGGGTACCTTTCCTCCTACGACGCACCATCGCGCCAAGGACGCACGCAAGCCTCGAGAGAGCGCACCGTGCACAGCGAGGCACATTGCGATACCCCTGCACCGCCCCCCGCCCCCTTTAGAGAAATCGTGGAGGGTGGGGACAGGGTTCACGTGTGGTGACTGGGCAGTCACACCGAGCGCGCAGGCATGCCTCGAGGGAACGCACCGTGCAGAGCGAGGCACACGTTGCGATGCCCACGGGATGCGCAGCAACATGCGGCATCACGGACAAAAATCACCGCCGGCCCCCCCTTTTTTTTGGGGGGGGGGGGCCTGGCCACCAGGCTGCGCGGCAGAAGTGTTTCCTGCGCGCCATGCGCCAGTTCCGCTTTTTCCAAGATCTCCAAAGCTATGAAGACAATCCGCGGTTCCAATGTTTCCTACGTTCTTCCAACGTTTCCAAAGTTGCCACGGCTTCCAAAGGAAATCCCGGAGGCCTCGCGCGGCAACTCAAATTTGATGTGCGTCGGATTTACGTCAGATTCACGTCGGATGACGTCGGATGCACGTCGGACTGACGCCGAGGCATCGCCGCGCAAACGTCGACCCGTAGCTTGCGGAACTGACGTGTGGAGCAGATAGTACAGCTATTAGGCGCCGCGCTTGTCCTCCAGGATGTTCCTCATAATCAGTGTTAAAGCTATGTCTGTTTCCTGCTGTGAAATGTCGCGTTCCGCACTCAAGCGGGGGGGTTATCCGAAAAGCACCCGGCTGTCACGCCCGAGTCGCTCTGCCTAGGACTTCTGGTGGGTCTGGGGCACGTCCAGATACAAATGCGGGAGATTCTCCGAAGGCAACGATCCCTCGTGAATTACGCCGGGTTCACGTTCCCGATCCCGAGCCCAGAACCCCTTGCAAATAACGCCAAATTCGCGCTACCGAGGCCAGAATCCCTTTCAAAGTACGCTGGCCATAACCCCTCATGAATACGTACTCAGGACGGCGCTCCCGAGGCCAGAGTCCTTCGTAAGGTATGTCAGGTTCGCGCTCTCGAGGCCAGAACCCGTTGCAAATGGCTCAGGATTCGCGCTCCTGGACTACAACCCTTGGTAATTACGTCAGGTTTGCGCTCCCAAGGCGAGAATATGTTTTTTTTCGCCAGGTCGCGACTACTGGCAGCCCTCGCATGAGGCTCCGATATTGCTTCAAGTCGGCGCCCAGGCATCCAAAATTAGCTCCGGCATGCCCCATGGTGATAGAGAGAGGGCCAACGGCAGAGGCCGAAGCGCTTATGGACATGTACAGGACAACGTACATGAACACACTGGCACGCAGGATGTAGAATACGGCCCGCAGTGTTCGCAATCGGCATGACGCAAAGTTCGCTAACACCCCGATCCTCATCGACACACAGACCCACTTAGAGTTGAGGCAAGAGCGGTGCTGCTGAACATGAGGGGAAGCAGTGCACATATACAACGGCCAAATCATGCTAACAATAGGGGCACGACCACAACGCCAATGACTTGATGGCCCCAGCCCTGCAACCGAAACGGTGGAGGGCACCTCTATGAAGTACGAAGCGGTGTCTTCGACGCCGCAGAACCTGCAACGCCACATGCAACATGCGACACCCGATGTCCCCGCCCCACACTGTGATCCTGTCTCATCAAATACAGTCGGGGCGTTGACCTAAGGAACCCTACATAAAATAAGGAAGGAGGCCCCTTTTCCCACACATTCAACTTCGATTTACCTTCGGAAACCTAAGGAAAGCTGTGAAACAATCAAGGAGCACCGAGCCCTTCCCCAACGAGAAGGGTTCCTTCTTCAGCGCCCCGACTGTAGCCCGTCCTTCTCTCGGAACTCGCTACCCGAGCAGCAAGTCGGGACAACCACGAGGAGCGATGCTGCGCACCAGCCTAATTGTCAAGGCCTACGCCAAGCACAGACTCTAAGTCAAACGCGAAGGCCAACACAGACAACCAGTGCAACAGACCCCGTCACCGTGTGATCTTGTCCCGGCAGCGATGCTCTCTGTGTGCGTCAGTACACGTCGTTAATTTCCAATCGTGCTCATTTCTAAGTGTACTCGCTTCTGACTGCTCCTGGCCCCCCTAGTGACCAGGACGAGGCCCAGGATAGAACAAACAGAGATGAAAGCATCTTGGCCCCCTGAAGAACATCGAAGAACTTTCGACGACTCAGACACGAGCAATGTGCCTGTGTGCCGCCACCGTGCTTCTTGTGCAGACTCGGGAGGCCAGCTTGCGACCGTCAGGCCCGACAGCCTGTGCGTGCGCCCGATGAGATTGCCCCCCCTTCCCCCCCCCCCTCAAGGACGACGAACGAGGCGCAGAAGGGGGAAGGGAGGGGAGGGAAGGGGGGAAGGGACGAGAAGGATTCGGCGGCAAGCGAGGGGAGGAACTGAAGAGGAGAAGGCCTTCTCAGAAGGCGGCGGGACTTCTTAGAAGGCCTCGCGCCTTCTGAAAAGTCTTTTGTGTCTTCGGGGAAGGCTCAAGCAACTTCTGAGAAGGCCGGGGGACTTCCGGGCCTTCCGAGAGGCCTTCTCCTTTTCACTTCCCCCCCTCGCTCGCCGCCGAAGGAAGGAGAGGGAGGCGGCGAGAGCGAAGGCAGGGACTGGGAGGTATCAAGAGAAGGGGGAGGAAGAAAGAGGGGGGGGGAGTCGGAGAGACCGAGGATGGACCAGAGCTGACCAGGGATGGACATGAAGGGAATTCCGAAGGGATGGCCTTGGAGGGGTAAACTGCCCCCTGGTTTTGGATGAAACGTTCGGCATCGTACACCCTTCCTACGGTTCGTCCTGGAGTTGCATGCTGCGCAAGCTTGGGGGAAAGGAACGTGTTTTTGAGCAGGGACCGACCGTCCCGGCATTCTTAGAGTCCTACCACGAAATGTTCTCAGAACCCAACACGTTCTAAGAACAATGTTCATATAACGTATACCCAACATGAAAAAAACAAGACAAACTCCACCATACATGTTCTAATAACGTTTCGTGGAAACCACAAACGGTTCTTGGAAGATTGTCTGGTAGGGCTATAGGCGAGCCAGGACGCTTCGCCACTGCTCGAGTGCGTTCAAAACTCGCAAGGAGGTCCTGCGAAAGCAAGCGCTGCATTCCGAGACCGCGCGGGTGTACTATTCGCAGGTCGTCTGGTGTCCAGAGCGAGGGTCCCCCCCGTGCACCGCTGGGGGCAGGGGGCTCCTCCTCCTCCTCCTCCTCCTCCTCCTCCTCCTCCTCCTCCTCCTGCTCCTCCCTATCCTCCCCCTCCCCCTCCCCCTCCCCCAAGCAAGCAACCGAACTAAGATGCCCTCATGCAAACACACACAGGCAAGCATAACAATACAACACGCTGACCCCGCAACACCATACGCAACGAGGGTGTACCAGGCTTCGCATCTGGATTAGATACGCCAAACAGTCATGTTTGGCGGTAATTTGGCCCAGTGCCCCTCAAAAGGGTAAGGCCACCACGGATCCACGTGGCCTCCCCGCACACAAGTGGAGTCGACATTGCGCGGCCGCCGCCAACGAAACTGCACTCGTGTTGCTTCCCCTAGCCTTCCGCAGAGGCGAGATGCCAACCTTGGCTTCTCGATGGCGAAGCCCCCCCCCCCGCGGCGCCATCTGAGAGAGTGGCCCTCCGCCACGCGTCGAGTTTGAAGGCCCGTCGGCCCGAAAAGGGCCCCCCAGGATGCCGAAGTGAAGAACCGAGGCTGCGGTCGTGCTCTCCTCGCGACGCCTGGAGGTCCAGGCTCCTACCACTCAACGACGGGGGCGCCGAGAAGAGTGGCCAGGAAGATGCTCGCGGACGGGGGCTGGGGGGGAACGGGGCGCCCTGAAAGAACTGCTCACTGCGCGGAGCTCCCCATGTGTGTGCATCCGTCTGCATGGACATTTCCGCTGTGCGCGTCCAGGCGCAAAAGACCTCGGGTACAGACGGGATTGGGTAACGACAGACTTGCAGTGAATATAACTGGGAGCGATGGAGTGTGAATCAATCCCGATAGCACGAGTGGGTCTATGCGCATGGGTCTGAATCTATCTACGTCAGTGGCCTGAACATGAATGCGCGTGGCTGAATCGAAATGGCTACGCGATGCCTCCCTCCATGACCGAGCAATAATAGGGGTGCTCATGCAAACGCCGTGCGAAAGTCTTGCGCTTCGCTGGCTGGCCCAGAAGATCTCACGCAATGGCTGGACCGTGATACAACCAGCCACGCCACTGAGATGAGAGACCCCATGGATTTGAATATACGTAAAACACCTGGGACTGGAGCCACAGGAGAAGGGCAATCTACAGGAACATACGTACAACACCATGGATTCGTGCCCCAGGGGACGCCCAGTCTACAAGAACAGACGGAAACACCTAGGACTGGAGACACAGGAGAGGGGAACTATACATGAACGCAGGTAAAGCCCGATGGGTTCGTGCCCTAGGAGGGGCCCAATATATAGGACAACGCGTAAAACACCTGAGACTGGAGCTATAGGAGGGGGGGGCAATGCATAGGAACATACGTATCATACAAAGGGTTCGCGCCCAGGAGAAGCCCCAAATACATGAACTGATTAAAAACACCGATTGGAACCACTGGAGAAAGGCAATCTACAAGTACACACGTAAAACACAACAAATCGTGCTCCGGGGGAGGCCCAATCTATAGGAGCGAACGTAAACCACCTCGGATTGGAGCCACTCCTGTGACCTCCTGAGGCCTCAAGGGACCTCCTGGGGCTTCATGGAGCCTCTTTGAGTTCCTGGTGCCTCCTGGTGCCTCCCAAGGCACCTCGGGGCCTCATGGTGCTGCCTGGTGCCTCCTGGAACCTCTTTGGGCCTCCTGTGGCCTCCTGGGAAGTCCTGCGGCCTCGTGGGGCCTCGTGGGGCCTCCCGGGGAGGATCCGTACCCCTATAGGAGCATGTGTAAAACACATCGGATTGGAACCACAGGCGAACGGGAATCTACAGAACAACAAGCTTAAAACAGCAAGGACGCGTGCCCCAGGAAAGGCCCAAGTTACAGAGAGTTGTCGCAAAGCTTGCGAACAACACAACGCAAATACACAACGCAAATCCACTACGCGGCGCAACGTAAAACACAACGTAAATCCACGACGTAAAAACACAATGTCAATACACAGTGTAAATACTCAACGTAATGACACTACGCATTGGCGCCGTGTGTATTGCGCTGCGTGTATGCGCGGGGGCTGTGTGTGTGTTGCGTAGTGCTGTGTCTTTACGCTGTGCGTAGGCATGGTGTTGCGCAGCGCTGCGTATACAAGCGTCGTGCTGTGTATTCACGCTGCGCGTATGCGCGGGTGTTGCGTGCGGGTAGCGTAGCGCTGTGTATTGATGCTGCGTATTGAAGCTGTGTATTTGCGCTGTGGATTCACGCTGTGTATTCGCACCGTGTAATTGTGCTGTGTATTTACACTCTGTATTTACGCTGTGCATACGCGTGGTGTCGTGTATTTGCGTTGCGTATATGCGTGGTGTTGTATTTACGTTGCGTATATGCGTCGTGTTGTGTATTTACGCTGTGTATATGCGCTGTGTACTTACATTGTGTGTACGCTTGGTGTTGTGTATTTACGTTGTGTGTATGCGTGGCGTTGTGTGTTCGCATTGCGTATATGCGTGGTGTTGTGTATTTACGTTGCGTATATGCGTGGTGTTGTGTATGTACGTCGTGTTTATGCGTGGTGTTGCGTGTTCACGTTGTGTATATGCGTGGTGGTGTGTGTTTACGTTGTGTATATGCGTGGTGTGTATCAACGGTGTGTATATGTGCGGCGTTGTGAATTTACGTTGTGTATACGCGTTGTGTCGTGCATTTGCGTTGCGTATACGCGTGGTGTTGTGTATTTACGCTGCGTGTATGCGTGGTGTTGTGTATTTGCAATGTGTATACGCGTGGTGGTGTGTATGTACGTTGTGTATATGCGTGGTGTTGTGTAGTTACGCTGTGTATACGCGTGGTGTTGTGTATGTACGCTGTGTACATGCGTGGTGCTGTGCATTGCGTTGCGTACATGCGTGGTGTTGTGTATTTGCGTTGCCCATATGCGTCGTGTTGTGTGTTCGCATGGCGTATATGCGTGGCGTTGTGCATTCGCATTGCGTATATGCGTGGTGTTGTGTATTCGAATTGCGTATATGCGTGGTGTTGTGTATTTGAGCTGCGTGTATCTGCGATGCGTGTATGTTGCGTATATGCGCGGTGTCGTGCACTTGCGTTGCGTGTATGTTGCGTGGCGTGTATGTTGCGTATATGCGTGTTGTCGTGTATTTGCGTGGCCTGTATGTTGCGTTGCGTGCATGTTGCGTATACGCGTGGTGTTGTGTATTTGCGTTGCGTGTATAAAGCATGTATGCGTGGTGTCGTGTATCTGCGTTGCGCGTATGTTGCGTATATGCGTGGTGTCGTGTATCTGCATTGCATGTATGTTGCGTTTACGCGTGGTGTCGTGTATTTGTGTTGCGTGTGTGTTGCGTATATGCGTGGTGTCGTGTATTTGCGTTGTGTATATGCGTGGTGTCGTGTACTTGCGTTGCGTACATGTCTGGTGTCGTGTATTTGCAATGCGTATATGCGTGGTGCCGTGTATTTGCGTTGCGTATATGCGTGGTGTCGTGTATTTGCGTTGCGTATATGCGTGGTGTAGTGTATTTGCATTGCGTATATACGTGGTGTCGTGTATTTGCGCTGCGTAAATGCGTGGTGTCGTGTATTTGCGTTGCGTGTATGCGTGGTGTCATGTACTTGCGTTGCGTAAATGCGTGGTGTCGTGTATTTGCGTTGCGTATATGCGTGGTGTCGTGTATTTGCGTTGCGTGTATTCGTGTTGTCGTGTATTTGCGGTGTGGATTAACGCTGTGTTTTACGTATACTCACGTTGTGCATTTACGGTGCGTATTAACGCTGTGTTTTACGCATGGGTGAAATTTTGTTTTGATTGGTTTGTGAAAAACTATGCAATTTACAAGAATATGTGAAACGCTGAGATCTGGAACCGCAGGAGAGGGGTCCTGAACGCAGACTAGCCGGACCATCAAAAAAAGCAAAACCACTCGAAGCATCCTCGCAACCTGGGCCCCCTAGGATGCGAAAGTGCGCGCCTCGCCCGAGACTTCCTCAAACTCTGCTCTGGAAGCGGAGGGTGTTGGGGCAGTGAGACAGGCAAGCCGCTCGAAGCATCCCCGCAATCTGGGCGCGAAAGGGAGGAACGAGATACCCCCTGGCGCCTCGCCCGGGACATCCTAAGAATCTGCTCTGAGCGCAGACGGCGGGACTGACCAACGAAACGGGCAAGCCGCTCGAGACATCCCCGCAACCTGGGCCCGCCCTGGGATGCGAAAGACAGCGCCTCGCCCGAGACATCATCATCATCATCATCATCATCATCATCATCATCATCATCATCATCATCATCATCATCATCATCATCATCATCAGCATCATCAGCATCATCATCAGCAGCAGCAGCAGAAGCAGCAGCATCATAATAAGCATCGTCATCATCAGCAGCATCAGCATCATCATCATCATCATCAGCATCACCATCATCATCAGCAGCATCAGCATAATCATCATCAGCATCACCATCATCAACATCAGCATCAGTATTAGCATCATCATCATCATCATCATCATCATCAGCATCGTCATCATCATCAGCATCATCAGCATCATGATCATCATCCTCACCGTGATGATGATGATCATCATCATCATCCATTGAAGCATCAATATAGGCATCATGATCATCAACATAAACAGCATCATCATACGCATCATCATGATGATGATGACCATCATCAATCATCATCATCATCAGCAGCAGCAGCAGAAGCAGCAGCATCATAATAAGCATCATCATCATCATCAGCAGCAGCAGCAGCAGAAGCAGCAGCATCATAATCAGCATCATCATCATCAGCAGCATCAGCATGATCATCATCAGCATCACCATCATCATCAGCAGCATCAGCATAATCATCATCATCACCATCATCAGCATCATGATCATCATCCTCACAATGATGATGATCATCATCACCCATTTAAACATCAATATAAGCATCAGGGTCATCAACAGAAGCAGCATCAGCATACACATCATCATGATGATGATGATGACCATCATCATCCTCATCCTCATCCTCATCCTCATCCTCAGCCTCATCCTCATCCTCATCCTCATCCTCATCCTCATCCTCATCATCATCATCATCATCATCATCATCATCATCATCATCATCATCATCATCATCATCATCATCATCTTCATCTTCATCTTCATCTTCATCGTCGTCGTCATAGTCGAGTGTGTAAGTTTGAACGAGGAGTGGAGAAGGAGAGGAATCTGTCGGTGAGGACTCGGCGTGGTCGGAGTAACAACAAGAATTCCATCTCTGCGGGTTAAGCTCCTCAGTGAGCGCTCTCCGAGGAGGAATCGGGCGGGGTCGGGCATGGCCAGCAGACGCATGGGACCAGTGGGCCAAACAGCAAACGCCAGCCCATGACATCCGCCGATCTGATCTTTCAAGTCCGACGCCACGCATAGGTCCCAACCCCACTCCCCGGGGCCAAGTTCTCGCCCGGGACTGGTTGTTGCCCCCGGGCCTCCAAACCCGAACCGGTGGACGAACCAGAGGGAAGACTTTAGCAGGGGCCGACCCTCCCGGCATCCCTATAGTCCTACCACGAAATGCTCCTAGAACAAAAACCCGAAGTGTTAAACCAAGACGCTCCCAACCAGAAATGTTCTAGGAACATGTCGTGGGAACCACAGAAGGTTCTTAGAACATTCTTTGGCAGGGCTGTAGGCGCGCCAGGACGCTTCGCCACTGCTTGACAGAGGGAATACACCAGGATCGACGCAGTCCAAGTCGCCGGGGATCTGGATAGGGGGCCACATGCGAACCCCACCCTCCCCCTCAGAAATCGTGGGGGGTAGGGGTAGGGTTCGCATGTGGCCCCCTACTGGAGATCCGGGAGGGGGGGGCAGGGGCAGCTCTGACCAGCCTGGGGTCTCTGGGCCCTTCCTGGCAATCCACCCCGAGCCCGTTCGGCGAGGGCGCTGCACTCGCGAGGCGGCGAGGAGCCTCCGGCAGAGGAGGCCACGGAAGGGGCAGGAGAGCCACAGGCAGGGAGGGGCAGGGCCGGACGCCGGCGAGGGGCGGTGCTTCGGGGGGGCCAGGGGCGACTTTGAGGAGCGACGGTCGGGGGGACTGGCATACTCCAAAGCCCTAATTGATCGTCCCCTGGGTCCGTTTTTTTTAGGCGCCTTTTTGGAAACTGGGGGGTCTGATTTATTGGGGCGCTTTCTGTGGATTGGATCGGAAGGGGTCCGGTTTATTGAGGCGCTCCGTCGAAGAGGGGGGTCCGGAATCTCAGGTCGCATTTGGAGGGGGTCCGGTTTTCCAGGGGGGGTCGATTCATAAGGGATTTGGAGTAGGGGGGGAATGCATCGGCCCGGCATCTGCGATGCATCGCCGACGGATCGGCGATTGGCCCCCGATCGTGAAGCCGCACCTTCCTGGGCAGGCTGGGGCCATCGGGCCCCTCTCGGCGATCCATGGGGGCTTGAGGGTCGATGCACCCCCTCCCGACATGCCCCTCCCCCCCGATCGCTGCCCCTGAGGCCTGCCCCTCGCCTGGCCGGGGAGGGCCGGGGCGACGTGCTCCTCGCCTGGCTGGCCCGAGCCGGGTCGAATCGCGACAAATGGGATCGGAGCGTGATCGCATCGGATCGCCGCGCTCGGCTCTGGCCGGCCCTGGCCGATGCTGGTGAGCTGAGCCGAGCCGCATCGGATTGGAATCGCGGCCCCAGCCATCGCATCGAATCGGCTCGTAGGCTCAAGTCGGGCGTGTCCCCCTACAGGGGGTTTTCGACGAAAAATAAAAACTACTCAAACAATGCTCCCAAATGGCCCAAAAAAATGCCAAACAAATAGTCCCCATACTATATGTTTTAAAACTATGTTTGAACATTCCTCGTGTGGAGGGACGGGCCCGACTTAATCGCAGGCGGCTCGTAGGCGGGCCCGTCTGGCCGAGGGGGGCCGCGCCGCCCGCGCGGCGCGAGCCTGTCGAAGCCCCGCTTCCGCTGCTCGCAGGCCTCCGTGCTCGCCTCGCCGCGCCTGGACACGACGCGCGACGAGGCGCTGGGCCCGACCCTCGCCATCGCTCGGACGTCCATTCCCCGTGCACCGTCCGGCCCCTCTGCGTGTTTTTTGTTGTTGTTCGCCGGAGGATGCAGGAGGAGGAGGAGGAGGAGGAGGAGGAGGAGGAGGCTCCTCGCTGGTCCTCGCCGCGAACAAAAAACGCACACGCCCGAGCGATGCCGAGGGGAGGGCCGCCCCCCCCCCGCCCCGCCCAGCCCTCCGCCCCGGGCGGCCGCTCGTCCGCACCCAGCATTCGGTGGCACCTCATGCGAGCCTCCCATACTACAGTCGGGGCGTTGACCTAAGGAACCCTAAATAAGGAACGAGGCCCCTTTTTTCCCATGAGATAAACTTCGATGTCCGATCGAAGACATAAGGAAAACCTGATGCAAGCTGAGAAACACTCGAGGAACGCGGAGCCCCTCACCAACCAAAAGGGTTCCTTCTTCAGGGCCCCGACTGTACCATCTTGTCTGCTCTTTCACGTTGACGCCAATCGACGCCAGATCGACGTTAGGTCGACGCCAATCGAAGCGAGTCGACGCTAGATCGCCACGGTCTCATCAATTACCAGACGATACACGCCAGTGCACTCAGAAGACAGAAATGCGAAGGCACACAAGGCTCCCATGATCTGCCACCGAACCAGCAAGCCCCTCCCCCAAACCCCGTCGAGTCGTGAAAAAGTCGGCGACGGACGGTTCGTGTCTCTGTTCCAAGCCTCTGCTGGATGGGGGGGCCTCGCCGGGCCCCACGACCCGCAAAAGCGGCTCGGGAGAGAAGAAGACGGCCCCGGGAAAAATGGGTCAAGACCTTCAGGGGTCCACATCATCAGCAAGCGTCACGACCTCAGAGTTCTGGGTCGTCCTGGGGAGTGGGCTCAAGACCCCTATAGGGGTCCGCATGCTCCATGATTGGAGGCCTGGAAATGAGCACCAACACCAACACATGGGGTTTTCCTCAACAGGGGGAAGCTGATCCGAGATTTCGGTGTTGGTGGTAACATTTCGGTTACCTTGGAAGCCAGAATATCACCACCATCGCCGAGATCGGGGTCGTCTTCCCTCGGTGGAGGCACACCGCTGATCTTGGTGCTGGTGTCAACCTCTGGGCCTGCGGCATGAGAGCCACGGCGCCAGAGCTCTATGTTGGGCGCCCGAGTTATCCGGGGTAACTCGGGTCCGGGGTAACGCGGGCTTGGATTGCCCTGACCCGAGTTACCCCTGATGATTTGGGGCTCTGGACGCCCGAGTTATCCGGGGTCTCTCGGGCCCGGGGTAGCTCGGGTTCGGAATCCCGAATAGCGAACCCGAGGTAGCCCTGACCCGAGTTACCCCTGATGATTCGGGGCTCTGATATAGGCCGCCCGCCCGCAGGCTCCTCCGCGGTGCCGCCAGGGGCCTTGGACCTCCGGGGGCGGGCGCACGGCGGCTGCAGCGCCCGCCGGTGGTGGGGCTTCCCGAGGGGCCGGCACCACTCTTTTTTTTTTCAACCGGCCGTCCATACCCAGCGGCACGCGCGTGACGCGTAGAACGAAAAAGAAGCGCGCGTCGACCATTCGGTTGGGAGCGGCTTAAGGGAGTCCGTCCAGGGACTCCACCACGCAGCACTGCGGAGGTGGAGAAGGATGGGGACGAGGGGGGGGTGAGAGAGCGGAAGGCGTGCGGCAAAAGAAGACGGATGAGACTGAGGGGCCAGCACCACTTTTGGGGCCCGACTCGGGAGGGGCACGACCGGGGAGGGCGCCCAGCCTCGAGC